CGGTACATGAAATATTCGTGGCAACCCTATTCAAAATATTTTAAAACCAAAATCTTGTTAAAGTTTTTCGACTAACACACATATTGTGATACATATTTAAATTGCCTATCTAACTCCCTTAATTCAAGTTCAATTTAATTTCTGAAACATATGGCAACCCTCCTAAATAAGGTTCAGAATAAAAAATTAAAGCCATGTCAATTTATAGCCATAATTTAAAAATTCATTTGAATTATTTGTTTATTTGTTTAATTTAGCCAATGAATACATCAAATATTCTTACAGACTATTAAAAAGAAAAGTAAAGTATATATACAAAATTAATCCAAAATAGAAGATAACAAATTCAAAAAGTCGTTTTTACAAGCTGTAAAATCAATATGAATACAATTTTCGATGCGATTAAGATCGCATAGAGCTCTTGTGATAGGAGCGTTTAATGCATAAACAGTTTTTACTGGGCCTATATGAAATGAATCAAAATGACGTAAATTTCTAAGTGGGGCATTAAAACGAATACGTTCAAGGAGGGGGGCACAGTCCACCCGTCCAGAAATAATATCAAATACAAAAGATAGTGACAGAATCGATCTCCTACTTTCCAGCGATTTTAAATTAATGAGCTTACATCTAGCAAGATACGAAGGAATAGGTTCATTAAAATGCAAGGTTCGAAGAGCAAACCTGATAAACACCTTTTGAACTTTTTCAATGCGGTTAACGTAACATGCATGATATGGCCTCCATAAATGAGGCGTACTCTAACCTAGATCTAACAAGGGTAGTGAAAAGCAATTTAATTGTATACGGGTCAGAGAATTCGGAACTGTTCCGTCGCACAAATGCCAACATTGCATAGGACTTTGAGACAATGTAGTTAATATGATTGCTGAATGTAAATTTTCTGTCAAAAATTACTCCCAAGTCCTTAATCTCCGGGACGGACTTTAAATAATAATTGGAAAAATGATAGGAAGTGTGAAAGACTGTGGTACGTTTACTGTAGGTGACGTGATAGCATTTATTAATGTTCAACGACAAGCGATTGGTGTCACACCACGATTTAAGATTATTAAGCTCTGCTTGAAGTATCTGTGAATCGAGCGGACTCTTTATTACGGAGTAAACTTTTAAATCGTCCGCATAAAGGAGAAATTTAGAACGGGAAAAGCAACTACTTATATCATTTATAAACAAAATGAAAAATAAGGGGCCCAAAACGCTTCCTTGGGGTACCCCGGAGGAAGCGATAAAGGGATACGATAATGTATTATCGACATTGACAACACAGCGACGATTACTAAGGTAAGATTTAATCCAATTTAAAAAAATGGAGTGAAAACCTAAAGCAGCAAGTTTATTGACTAAGATAGAGTGTGAAACCCTGTCAAACGCCTTTGAAAAGTCGGTATAAACCGCATCTAACTGAAACCCGTCTTTGAAGCCAGAAATGCAATCTTCTGCGAAGACAGCGAGATTAGAGACCGTCGAGCTGTTAGGCATAAACCCATGCTGGTTCTGACAAATAAGGCTTTTAACTGCAAAAGACACCTTTTCATTCACTATGCATTCGAATAGTTTGGAAATAGTTGAAAGTTTGGAAATGGGTCTATAATTATGAACATCATTTTTATTACCACTTTTGAACATAGGGGTGATAAAAGCTATTTTCCAATCTTCGACAAATACCCCTGCGGATAGCGAGTTATTGAAAATTAATTTTAAAATAAATAAAATAAATGCATTTTTTTAATAGAACTGCGGATAGCCCGTCAATGTCAGTTTGGCTCGAGGGTTCAAGCTGCGCAATGCCATTAAGAATGTCGGTTGTGGTCAAGGTTAGGTATCCAAAGCTAAAGGGCCATTCCTTAGTATTGGAAAGGCTTCCACTAGAGTCGTTATCTAAAATGAAGTTTGAGCGAAAAAAAAATCGGCAAACAGATTCGCAGCCTCAATGGGGGAGGTAGCAGATTTCCCGTCCAGAAATAGTTGAGAGGGAATACTAGAGCAAGATTTCTTCGAAGTTATAAATCGCCAGAAAGCTTTAGGATTCGACTTGATATTGGCTTCATAGTTTAAAACGTAGTTTCTATATAAAAATTTATCAAGGCAGTTAAAATGTTTGGCATACTTTTTATACTCAATAAAAAACGAATAATTGCTCGTCTTTTTGAATTTGCGGTGGTATTTGTTTCTTAAATTTTTTATTCTTTTAAGATTTCGAGTATGCCATGGAACTTTGTATAGCTTTTTACCAAAGATTGGAATGTTATTTTGACAAACTTCAACTACTTTAGATTTAAAGATATTAAAACATGATGCCACACTAAGATTACATAATAACCTGTCCCAGTCTATATTGAGAAATATACTATTTAGATTAGAAAAATTACATACATTATAGTTAAAAGATGCTTTTGTGTTTTTATCGTCTAAGCTGAGGTATGAGTAAAAATAAATATCTAATACCAAGGGAACATGATACATATCAGGCTCCTTGAAAGGAAAATTACACTCGGACAACTGAAAGTTAACATTAGTGCTAATAAATATTAGGTCCAAAAACCTCTGAAGCTTATTGTGAAAGTAATTTATTTGCCTAATATCAATGCTTAAAAAATTATCAATTAAATATATCTCGCTACTACTATTCACACAGCTTGGTAAAAGGCCAGAGGTCTTAACTATATTAGACCACATAACGTTGTTTAAGTTAAAGTCCCCTAAGACAGCAAGATGGTTATCTGGTGCACAATTTGCATTTAGAGACAAAATATTATCTACATGCGCCTTATACAGCTCATCTGAGCTATTCGGCGGAATGTATGAAGCGCAGATGAATAGCGATTCCCGAGGGCTTTGTACCCACACGCAGAGTTGGTCCAGCAGCGAATTATTGTTGCTTAGCTCGTAGAAAAACGCCTTATGTTTCCTCTGGATCGCAATAAGGACACCACCACCTCTAGCACATCCAGTTTTGACTGCATCTCTGTCCTTGCGGAATACTTCAAACAAGTTTGGATCGAAGAACTCATGACTGAAGAAGTTATCGTTTAGCCACGTTTCTATGATAACGAAGATATCGTAATCTAACTGCGAACTCATGAGATGAAGAGATTTAGATTTTGTCCTAAGACCAGAGACATTATGAAAATAGATTTTTAAGTGCTTGTGGTTTGCATTATCGAACTTTGGGTTTTTGTCTGAGAGTCGTCGTTTTTTGGCATAAATTTAAAAGGGCGCACAGCAACATTTGCAGGCCATAAGTCCGGATTTAAGAGCTTTTCGTAGTGCAAGTTAGATACGCCCAGTTTAAAGTTTACACTCTTTAGAGTATTTATAGAAACATCCTTTTTAACTAGGGGAGAGCACGAAAGCATGCTGGGTTTAATGTTTGCGTGTTTAGCTACATAATTAATTATGTTCTCCGCTTTGACCGAATTAGAAAACGAAGACAAGTGCAGCCACTTCAGTCGAAATGTCACATTAAGCTCTTTGCTAGCATTCAAACCAACAACAATCAGTGGTGCTTTTTCGTTCTTCTTTGCGCTGTTTAACTTGCCAGCAGAGTTTAGCGATGTAGCCGAAGATTGTGTGTTGGACTGCCTGTTTGCATTTTTGTCATTAGCAGTTTGGTGAGTAGGAATGGGAGCATTAAGCGCTGGTTATACTTGCATTGTGCTGCAGCGCATAACATGTGTATTGTCACATATCGAATCTGTTTAATGAGTTTTGCACACAGACGATTATCCGACGCAGCGCATGACAGGGCATGACAGCGAAGTCTGGTGAATTTTGATTTTTGCCTATGTGACATTTGCAAAGAGAGCTGACGCTCTCATTTGTGCACTGCCATATGTCATTTACACCGAGATTTGACATTCGACATTTGGAAAGCGGCAAAAAAAGCGGGCGAATGTAAGTATGAAATTATTTATGAGAAATATTAAATTTTAATTGTTGTATTGTTTTTATATTATTTCAGAATGATTGATGACGAAAGGCTGGTCGATTTGGTGCGGGCGAATGATGCCATATACAATAAAAGAAGCCTGTCATATAGATTTCCGGAAAAAAAGAAGGCGGCGTGGGCAAGTGTGGCACAAGAGCTGGGTGCAACAGGTTTGTAAAATTTTAATTATATGCATTTTCAATCCATTTATTATTATGATATACCTACAGAAGATCAGTGTACCAGACGTTGGCAGTCCTTGCGGGAAAGGTATTCCCGAGAACTAAAAAGATTGGATGCACCATCGGGGAGTGCGGCCGCACTGACGGAAACATGGCCATTGTTTGAAAGCATGGGCTTCCTTAAAGAATTTGTAAAGCCCAGGGCGTAGGTGTTTAATTTCTTTACATTAGTGGTATTCACCGAATTGAGCAAGTGGCCTGGCACTCTGGCAGCCCACTTGCTCACTTTGGTGAATAGCACTATTAAGTTTTATTCACTGTGTTTTATTTAATAACATTAAAACAATTTACATTTTAAGAACACGATGTACAACGAATATTTTATCCGAATTTCCTACATCTCCACCTTCGCCAACACTTTCTTCGTCATTTTCGTTGACAGAGACGTTAATGTTTACCGGTTCACCTGATGCAGTGGAGGCGACGTTCTCAACTGAGGAGTTGGCATGTGAGCAACCAACGCCGACAACTTCGCAAAAGAAACGAAAACGGCAGGAAAGCGATGCAGATGGGGAATTCCGTGAAGCATGTCAATTGTATAAAGACATGTGTAAAGAGCGGGCAGCACAAAAAGGAAGCCAGACCATACGTGCTTTCGGGCAAATGATTGTGTCCACAGTCAGTGAGATGAGTGAAGCGAAACAGGTAAAGGCGATACAAGTCGTCACAAATACCATCATGACCATCAAATTGGAGCCTGAAGAATAGGAAGGTAGGCTGAACCCATATACTGCAGTGCTTTTAAATTAAAGGTTGTTTCTTTGCAGGTCGCAACTCTTAAGTCATAGCTTTTAGACGCTAATATATATTGAGTTAAACTCGGAACTGAATTTGTTGATTAAAAATCGAAGTGTATTAGAATATTTGTGTTTTTTAAGTTACAAAAACGTTTTTGAAAGTGGTTAAAATAGTTTACATTTTTAAATCAGCAATACAAAAACAATTTTTAATTGTTAAATCTTAGGTTGCATACGTTCAGTATGTAAAAAATGGGCAGATGGTGATTTTTGAGTAAATATTTTACAAACTTTTCAAATAAATTTTTCTTATAATAGTGTATGAATATCCAAAAAATATTCAAGTTTTCATCAAAATTTTAAAGTTTGTAACCTGAATTTCTTTAAAAGGTTTTAGTATGCAGTTTTTGAAGCCTCTAAAAATTCGCGTTGATTTGTGATAACTTATCTATTAACGATCTTTGCTGTTTTTATATACAAATAATATTTTATTGAAAAAAATTCGGAGTACATACTATAAAAAAAAAACAAGGAAAATCAACGCAAATTGTTAGAGGCTTCAAAAACTGCATACTGCATACCATTTGCTCAATTTTGTTACATACTGTATGAATGGAACCTAATGTTTAACAATTAATAATGTGTTTATATTACTGATTTAAAAATTAAAAATATTCCAACCAGTTGCAAAAACTTTTTCTTTTTAATTGTAACTTGAAAACATTCTGAATCTTTTAACAAAACCCTCCATTTGCTAATTTTTTTTACATAGGGTGCATTCCAAATCGTCAAAATACAAAGCATCACTCTCTTTTATTTCTAAACCTCAGCAGATTGTAATGCCCAATGTGCGCAACCACGGTGAGATGCTAATTTTCAACTAGGTTGCTCAAGCTAGACATTTTGTTCTAGTGCGGCTTAGAAATAAAAGGGACTGATGCTTTGTATTTTGACGTTTTGGAATGCACCCATACTCTATGTATGTATGTATGCAACCTAAGGTTCAACAACTTAAAAATGAATTTGTATTGCTTTCACTGCAATCATAATACACGTAATTTGTTATATGAAGTTTTTTTATTTTTATTTTATATGATTACTACTATATATGTATGTATATTGAATTGTAC